CAAACGCGATACAGTACCTTTGGCTTANTAGAAAAAAAGTTATGGACGTCCAATACTGAAGGTGAGAAGGTCAGTCTCATAAAGTTATGGGATGGAAAGGCTGAAGCAAGATTTATCAGTGAACAGATATTAAAATTCACTCAATATAGATTCTGTGATATTGCGGTGCTGGTAAGAGCTACTTTTCAAACTAGAGTTCTGGAGGAATATTTTATAAAATATTCGATTCCTTATAACATAATAAGTGGCATGAAATTTTATGAGCGTCGAGAAGTAAGAGATATAATTGCATATTTAAGGCTGATAATAAACAATAATGACGACCTTGCTTTTGAACGCATTATTAATCGGCCGAAAAGAAGTATAGGTGCTATAACTCTCAAAAAAATATACACAGTTGCTCAAAGTCATACAATTTCCTTTTTTGAAGCAGCAAAAATGCTGGTTGATAGTGATCAGCTAACACAAAGAATAAAATCCTCATTAAATGGTTTTTTAGGTAAAATTGAACTTTGGAGGGAAATAGTTACGACGAAAGAGCTTTTTGAGTTTGTTGAAATGATAGCAGATCAATCAGGATTTATTGAAATGCTGGAGATGGAAGGCATACTAGGTGTAGCACGAATGGAGAATATAAAAGAGCTTATCTCATCTTTAAAAAATTTCAACAATATAACAGCTTTCTTGGAGCACATAAGCTTAGTGATGGAGGTAGATAACATGAAGAATGACGATACTGTATACGTTATGACTCTCCATGCATCTAAGGGATTAGAGTTTCCGTGTGTATTTCTACCAGGTTGGGAAGAGGGATTATTTCCCCATCAGAGGTCGTTTGAAGATAGAAGTGGTAAAGCTTTAGAAGAGGAGAGAAGACTTGCGTATGTAGGAATAACAAGAGCAAAAGAAAAATTAACTATTTCATGTGCGGATAGAAGAGAAATTAATAATCAATGGCAACCGATGCGTACTTCTCGATTCATAAGAGAATTACCAAGGGATAATGTTGCAGTGGTCAAGAGTAACATTGCATATTCTCGAAACTAAGGGTTTCGATTCAGCATCTCAAGATCAGAATGTTGCAGGCTCGGGTATAGATTTTCCCTTAAAACACTCAGAAGTTAAAACATTTGTTAATATAGTCCATGTATCCAAATCTGAATTTTTGCTTTTTTTTCTTCGTCAGCTTTTTCGTAGAGTTTTAAAGCTCCGTAGCCCACTACAACTCCTGTAATATCAGCAATGATAGCAAAGATAAATATATGCCAAATTATCAGTGCTCTTTATAAGAGAAGTATATGTAAATTCCAGCACTCAC